ATCTTCTTTTTTTTTTTCCCTTACTCTCTTCACGCTTATATCATACAATTCTTTTTTTTTTTTTTTTTCCTTTCTTGAGGTTAATATAGTATGTAACGTCCCCATTTTATGACCCAGCCCACTCAATCATGCTTTGCTTTGATTTACGATTAACTCCCAAAAGTCAACTTGTAGGGCATGAAAAGTGGGCTCCTTAAACAATTATGGTACCACTTTTTTTTTTTTTTTTTGATCAGGTAGATAGTTAGGAAGTTAGTAGAGTTAGTTTGTTAGCAACTGAAATTTTTTCAGGGAAGTGAACATTCCACCCCCTCATTTGAGGCGCGCGACTATTAGGTCGCAAGTTGGTGGAGTTCACGACGGTGGTAAAGTTCAAAACCCTGACCTCCGCCTCAGGCCCGGTTGGCAATTATGGTACCACTTTTGTCCATGTAAGAATTATAGACTTTATTCATGTAAATTTTGATTATGTCACATATTATATTTTAACTTTTAACTTGGTAAAAGAAAGTATAGTGTGACATTAAATAATACTAATAACAATAAAGAAAGTTTAGTGCACGACCTCAATTTTATGTCATAACATGTTACGAGCCTTAACTCGACACTTATCATGATTTTTACAGATCCTCTAGTAGCAGCGAAGACATGTAACTTTAGTTGATATCTATATTAAAAACAATTTTATATTTAACATCATTGAGAAGCTCATTGGTAAGATGTCACTTACCATGCGATTAATACAACTAGCGGTAAACTATACGTATAAAAGATGTTGAGACTTTGCTGATGTTTTAAGTATGTAAATTTGATGTGATCATCTGCTGTGTTTGTTGTTCAAATGGTTATAGTCCGCATGTGGACAAGCACATTCATTATATAAAGGAATTATAAGGTGTGAATAAGATGACTTCCCAAGATATGCACTTTTAACTTATTTGTCTATTATGAATTTTGATCTCCCATCTACAAAGCGCAATGAACTTTACTGATACATTTTCACAATGCCATTCCTAATTTCCTATAAAGAAATGATATATACACCCTTTAAAGTTACACACTCCGTTATATATTGATAGATTTTGTTAGTGTGTCGTTTAAATTGATAGTTTTGTTACTTGTGCCGTTAAAATTAACGATTTTCATTATTTTTGCTGTTAAAACTAATGGTTTCCATCAATTTTAACGATACATTAACAGAAACTGTCAGTATGTAACAGAGTATATAACTTTTAGATGGTGTATGTATCAGTGTCCTTTCTTATAAAAGTTGACATGAAATAAAGCATTTGTGGTAGGCCACTGACTCCCTGCAGGGGTGTGTGCATCAAGAAAACTGCTGCTAATTCCAAAATGTAAACAGAAAGTGATTTAGAGACTCTTGTGATACTGTAAAAACATAGTGAAACAGGCACTTTAAAATGCATTACTCTGTTAAAATTGGTGGCAGATATAGTTTGCAATGAGTACTTTGTTCATATTCCTACATTGTGCAAGGAGCATCTGCTAATTGACAGTATAATCCAATCGACTTGGCTATTCTGAAGATTTATTGGTTTTCTCCTAATGGGAAATTTATTTGATTTTCATAGCTCCATTCAATTGGGGTTTAATCAGTGAAACCTAGCTGTCACAAAGGAAAACAAGCGATTCTGTTAATATTTCACAACCAGGAATGATACTGATGCAAAAAAATAAAAAATTAGACATGCAATAATGTAAAATCTTAGATCAATTCAATGGACCTGAGCAGGCATACCGTCCTGCATTACTTCCGCCAAGGAACTCTGAAATGAGGTCATTCAGTTCATCAACTATAGCTTTGTAGCAGAAAAGATATTGCTCCTATTAAACAGCAAGTGGAGAAGAGTCAATCAAATTTTGATAAATAGAAAATTAAAGTCAAAACTACCATAAGAACAGCAAGTGGAGAAGAGTCAATCAAATTTTGATAAATAGAAAATTAAAGTCAAAACTACCATAAGAACAGCAAGTGGAGAGAAAGTCAAATTTTGATAAATAGAAGATCCAGGTCAAAACTACCATAAGATGATGTCATATAGATATCATCCTATATCCCAATTCTCTCAAATTTTGATAAATAGAAGATCCAGGTCAAAACTACCATAAGATGATGTCATATAGGTATCATCCTATATCCCATAATTGGATGGCTTATGTTCATTAACAACCAACACCAACCCAACCCAACCCAACCCACAATGTCTTTCTAAGCAAGAGATATTTTAGTCATCCAAAGTCTTTGTGGCTCAGAGTGTTCTGAGCAGTAGCAAGGTTAAGAAATCAGCTTAAGTTTGCTTGACCTGGCATTTTAGTTATCAGATCTATTTCAGATTGTTAAGCAGAATGCAATGCAATGAAAAAATTATGCTTCCTATACATGTTGGAAACTGACAATACCAAAAATAACCAAGTTATAGCCTTTTAATAGGTTCAAAGTTCCAATTTGGTGCAAGTGAAGGAAAAACAGGAAGGAAGAGATACCATGGTTTGCACCATTCCAATTCGCTGGGACCTAAATATAGATATAGTATTAACAAGGTCTAATGCAGACATATCGCCCAAAAGGATCCTCTGGATTGTGTTATGAATTGTGCAGTATGCTCCTGTTCTCCCAATACCTGCACTGAGCAAGAGAGAGATTGTCTCAGGCATAATTAGATGTATGATTGGTTGAACATGATTGAGGCCCACAAAACAATAGATGAGTTGAACCTGCAGTGTACTACGATTGGGCTAGGGTTAACAGGAACATTATATAATCTTTTAAAGATTTCACGAACAGCAAATGTATCAGTGGGGACACCATGGTCAGGCCATTCTGGATATTGAATATGCAAAACAGACGGTGGTGGCTCATCCGACTATAACAATATTAAAAGAAAAGTCATAAGTAATAGTAAGAATCCTACTACAAACAATCTCTAGCAGTCTTGTCAGCACACACTACATTAATTAACCATAAACCATTGTTAGCATGGTCTAGCAGATTGATTTTAAAAGAGAGAAACACATACCTCCTTATAATTTACCTCCATGTTGCGCAAAACCAATGAAGTCTCTGTAGTTTGTAACCATTTAGTGACAATTGATATCTTGCCAAATTCTCTAGGACCATCTTCTGCCTGAAAATAATCTCCACACTTTACTGTCTGCAAAAAAAAAAAAAAAATAATAATAATAAATAAATAAATAATCTAAATAAGAGCGAAAATAAACCACATGACTGTCCAAGGACTAGACATGCTTGCTCTACATATTTAGAACTAGACATAGAATCCAAATTAAACCACTTTCAATGTACATCTTTAACCAAATGGTCTACACAGCAAAGTACCTTGAAATTGTCCACCAAGCGTGTAAGCATCAGAATGACAGGGCAGCGATATTGGATAACCATCTCCCAGAAATCCTCAAAGGTGTGCGGTAATGGACCTTGTGTGGATATAAACTTAGAAATGTTTTCTGGGGAAGGAGTCTACATTAAAAGGTCAAATTGGCAGGGTCAATCTAGGAAAAAACAGCTCAAGATACCTTATATATCAAGAACATATATTTACAAAATATAATGAAATACAATCTTATAGGGAACTAATAGACCAGAACCTAGAATTACCGAGATGAAGCTTGCATTGATATAACCATTTGCAGATAGTCTGTAATCTTTACACGAATTAAGAACAACCCTGTTATCGTCAACTGAAATCAACAACAACACAACACACATCACCTAAATAGAATTCATTTTATTGAAGATCCATAAGCACAAACAACTAATTGACAAAGCAATTTGCTTTTGAAAACAAGTTAAACATTTTCATACACGGTACAACATTAGTGTATCGGTTTTTGCTCTTATTGACACTGTGAAAAGCCACTGTGCAGCTGCTTGCCATCTCTGGCTGTCTAATCCTATTGGCCTGAAACCATTAACAAAACGGACTTAGTTAAAACTCTAAAGCTACCAACTTAAGACTACGTTGAAGATTAAAACTAATTATGACAAATTACAATCGATGACTCAATAGCAAAAAATAATCAGAGTCAGAGGGAGTCCCTAAATTGGGTTCCCACAACAAAATTCTCAATTGATAAAACTATTTTCCCTGAATGTAAGAAATGGGTCCTTTTCAAGAATTCGACTTTCCTTTCCAAATGAAAGAAAATAAGGACCTACTAAGAAATAGAACCTGCAAACGAGCAAACTCTTTGGTTATTTCATGGGGCATCTGGAGCTTTTCGTTGAGCAACCTGAGAGCCTCGGAGCAGTACTTGTACTGATTGGCAGTGATCAAAATTCTCAACGTCGAATTGACCGAGAAGTCGAAACGCTGCTGAGCGGGATTTGAATTGGAGGAAGAAGGGGTGAAGTCGGATGCACCGGTGACCATGGCTGATCTCCGGCTGGACAGAGATCGCCAGGAGAAAAAGGAGATGGTGTTTCCCGTCGCTGCCGTTGATTGTTGGATTCGAACTTTGGGCAGAGTGGTTGCGTACGAAAACGGATACCCAGTAAATTTGAGTGCTATGATTGGTCGGAGAGATTCCTGTTTGGGGTTTACTGCGAGGGAAATCCTTTTATTAGTGACCCAACCGAATCATCACTTCCGGCGTCTGCTCCGATGGTATGGTTTTTATTTTAAAAAATGTCTAATATAAGTTGCAAAATTTTTTTTATTGCACTTTTTTTTTTTGTTAATTTATTGTTTTTACTTTTAATAAATTTAATTTATTTTTTAATATTTTAGACATAATTTTAGGTTAAACCTCTTTTTTGGTCTCTCAACTATTGCACGTAGTCCTAATTAAGTCCCTCAACTCAAAAAATTACTAATTTGGTCTTTACTATTTATCATTTTTACCCCAATTTGATCCCTCCAATAAAAATCTACCAATATGTGCTGCTAAGTCGCGGTAAAATGATAACACATCAAAATATTAGTCTAGACAACATGACAAAAAATATATTGACATGGCAAAAAATAATAATATGACAAAAAAACTCAAAAAATTCTTTTTTTTTTTTTTTTCCATTTTCCTTCTCT